TACTGTGGCATAAGTTCCAGGCATCCAGACTCCCAGGGTGAAGGGTATCAAGGCTACACTCCAGGGAGACTTTGACCCATCAGGAGAAAAGGCAGTTAGGAACTGGCCCGACACTACCGCAGCAGGAGGCAGGAAAAAAGGAGAGCAAAAGGTCACCCACAGAAGTTAAAATTACCAGTCAAGAAACAGAATGTCATTCCCTCTAGGGGCTTTTTGCTCTTCATCACAGGCACTTCCTCCCCCTCCTTCCAAGCAAGAAATCCCAGAGGAAGATTTCTCCCATCAAGAAACAGTCTCTCCCTGGAGCACCTGGGTGGCTCAGTTGGTCAAGCGTCCGACTCTTGATTTCGGCTCCAGTGGTGACCTCCCGGTTGGTGAGATGGAGCCCCACGAGGGTGCTGTCAGCATGGAGCCTGCTCTGGATTCTCTCCCTCCCTCCCTCTCTCCCTCTGCCCCTCACCCTCCCCAACTCCCTCAGAAAGAAAGAAAGAAAGAAAGAAAGAAAGAAAGAAAGAAAGAGAGTCTCTAAGTTCACATTAGCAGGATCCTGACTTTTACAGCCAAGTGTGCAGTTTGCCCCCAAAATAGTCTCAAACAGTCTCTTGTTGGGTGGATGCATCTGACATATCTGCCTTTCCAAGCAACTGGCCACCCCGGGGCGTTAACTGCAGGTTCCTCAGAGAGCTGTGCTGCCCATCCAGACGAGAGGAAGGCAGCCAAAGGAAAGCCGCCTTCCCAGGTACCAAGCGGCTGAAATACAGAAAGGACCTTGTCTGCGGCATCCCCACATCCCCGACTGCTGCACACTCACTCACCCTGAATTCCTCTGCAGGAAGCGGCCTGGAGCAGGACGGCTTGCTGAGCCAACAGGAAGCCCTTCTGCTTTTGCTGACGTGTTCTCGTTCGAACACCCCAGCCCACGCTTCCAAGGTGAAGTTGTGTCACAAAACTATCAGCTGCTCCTTCCTTCTATAGGTCCCCTGTGAGGGGACTACCAGCCGGTGTTGCCGAGGGGTCAGGACAGAGGCTTAGTGGAGCTGCTGCACCTTTCAGTCCCACTGGTTCTTGTGTTTCATCACACAGCTCTGGTTTCTAAGCCTCTCCCTGACTCCTCCTCTCAATCCCTGGCTCTGGTCTCCTTTACTCCAAATCCTTTTCTATTTCCTCCTCTAAGTCATTGGTCTCTTAGGCAACTGCCTTTTTGATAGTGTCTAACAAGGTAACTCCCAGTTACCCAGCGTCAGAGCCCAGAGTGTGGGCTTAACGCTCACCGGGGGCCTGTTAGGTAAAGGTTCCTGGGCCCTGCACCTGGAGGCTCTGACCAGAATAAGGCTCCAGGATCTGTATCTTTGACAGGGAATCGCCAAGGCATATTCTGGTGTGCAAACCACTCTTCCAAGGGACCGCAGAAGCCCTCCCAGTGCAAAAATGCCTCCCCGGGGCCAGAATCCCTGAAGTCCGCCCTATGGTTAGTCTCATGAGTCAATGTCTCTTGTCAAAGTGTACAAGTCATCAAGTTTACAGATCATGGCCTATGCTTCCAGGTTGCCACCTGCTTGAGGGAGGGTACCATGTCTTTTCACTTTTGCATCTTTGGCAGCCCGTGAGGTGCGGCTGGAAGAACACCCGTCTCTGGAACCAGAGACCTAGATTGGAACCCTCTTTAGCAGTGTGACTGACCTCAGGCAGATTGCTTAACGTCCCTTGTGCTTCAGCTTTTTAAACGGGAGTGATACATACATGTATTACAAGTGAAATACAAGCCTCGAGGAGAAAGGGCTGCTCTTGGAAGTCATGGACAGGCTGAAAGTTCTGAGAGAAGAAAACGGTGTGTTGGCACACAGCCATCACACTGGATGAGAAGTACCTAGGCAGGGTAGCAAGGTTCCCAGCCGAGTGACTAATTCCCAGGAGCAGATCCCAGGATGGGATGTGAGGTGGGTGAGGAAGGCAGCAGAAATTAGTATCACTTTTATGAAGATTCTTTTTTTTTTTTTTTTTTTTTTTTTTTTGAGAGAGCACATACATGCAAGCAGGGGAGGGACAGAGGGAGAGGGAGAGATAGAATCTTAGGCAGGGTCCACACAGCGCAGGACTCAATCTCATGACCCATGAGATCATGACCTGAGCCAATATCAAGAGTTGATCACTTAACTGAGCCATCCAAGGTCCCCATTTTCATAAAGATTCTAAGAGAAGTGCAAGAAAAGGTGAGCAGGTCATGATGCTTCAGCACCCAGGTAATAAAGTGAGGAGCAGGTTAGACGGCATAGACCCAGGTCTTCTCCACTCTGCTGCTCAGAGCAGAAAACATCAGAAAACCATGGGCCCCTAAGGGATGTGGCCAAAGAAGACTGGGGACACCGGATGGTAAGGTGATGACTATGTAGAAAAGAGGCATCCACAGTTACTAATAGCAGGCATGCACCATGCAGAAACAGCTGAGGTCCTCTCGGGAGGAAGGATATCTAGCTCCAGTCTGCCTTCAGACTCACGAATGCAACACCAGCTCTTCCCTGGGTGTCCAAGCCTGCTGGCCTACCCTGCAGATTTGAGTTCCCACAATCACAGGAGCCACTTTCTTAAAATCAATCAATCTCTCTTCCCCTCTCATTATGCACACCCTCTTAGGGTATATTGACCAGGCCTGAGAACATAACTGACTTAAGACAGATTCAGAGGAGAAAAACATGCAAATGTATTTAATATAAGTTTTTATGTGTCACGGGAGCCTTCATAAGGAATGAAGAGCCAAAGAAAGAGCAAAACCTTCCTGCGAGTGTCTCTCCACTTCTGATTTGTGAGTTTCAGAAGCTCCCACATTCTCACGGTGCTGGGCACGGAAGGCAGCTAAGAGCTGATGGCCAGCAGGTCGGCCCTGGGATCATCATGGTGTAGTGTAAGCTGACCCTTTAGCATAGCATATGGGGTATATGCATCTACCAGGGACCTAACAGAAGACACGACTTACACTCAGAGAATTTGCAAGGGCAATAAAAGCCAAGTGGAGCAAATGCAGAGAGTGAGAGTGGGTTGGCCAGCTGGCCTGGACCATGCCAAAAGGACAGGTACATCGATGTACATAAGAGGCCAATGCCTGGAGATCAGACTAGTTACATTACTAAAAGGTTAGAGAAGCTGGTCAAGAATGTTATTTGATCCGCATTCATGCCAATCTTTGTAGTAGTGATACTGAAAAACTATGTGGAAAAAAACCACAGAACCTTCTTGGTTTTGAAAAACCATAAAATACAGGGCACACCTAGTTGGCTCAGTTGGGACAGCATGCGACTCTTCAGCTCAGGGTTGTGAGTTTGAGCCCCATGTTGGGGGGAGAGATTAGTTAAAAAATAAAATATTAAAAAAAAAAGAAAACCCATAAGCTAGAAATCAAGGGATATATATCAGACCAAACACTAACAGCATACCTCATAGTCATTCTTCTTAAAATCCAAAACAGGAAACAAAATAATTATACCCATAGGGCACCTGAGTGGCTCAGTCAATTAAACATCTGACTTCAGCTCAGGTGATTATCTTAGTTTGTGAGGTCTAGTCCTGCTTAAGGTGAGCTCAAGCCTCACTTCGGGTGAGCCCCACTTCTCTCTCTCTCTGCCCCTCGCTCATCTGTGCCCTCTCTCTCTCAAAAAATAAAAATAATAATTATAATAATTATACCCATTAAACCCACCATGATAACTATTATATAGCGTATGGCATATACAACTAATGCATATAACATCTAACATATATAGTTGTTAGATAGCATATAGCACAGGAGATATTAGCCATTGCAATTACACGATTATTATAGCCAAAGGAGTGACATATTCTAATTGACTAGGTCTGGGAGATGTGAAAACTTATCTGAATGAGAAAGGAGAGGCTAGTAGCCTCAGTCATACTGAATGGAATAATTTTATGCCCAACATAGGGAATATCAGACATCAAATAAAAGAAAAAGAGTTTAGGCAGATACAATGAAGTGTCCCCATGTGACTTCTATTCTAATTCCTCACTGGCTCCCCCCATCACACCTACAAAATCATTCAAATATGTTTTTGCTGGTTTATCTTCACTTGATTATCTACTAATCACCTTTCACATCCATCCATTGCAATTCAGTAACTCAGGAATATTTGGATGGTGACTTGCCCCTTAGAGAATGTGTACTTGGACAAAGTAATCTGGATTGTTCTAAACCCAGGGTCATCAAACTGTGCCCTGTGAGCCAAATCCAGGCTACAGCCTGTTTTTCTGCTGCCCAGAAGCTAAGAATGGCTTTTACCGTTGTAGATACTCAGAAAAAAATGAAAAGAAAATTACTATTGTGTGACATGTTAAAATTATATGAAATGCAAATGTCAGTGTCCATAAAGAAAATTTAATTGGAACAGAGCCACAGTCATTCATTACAGCCTGTGCTGCCTTTGTGCTTTAATGGAAGAACCCAGTAATAATGACAGAGACTTTATGTATGGCCCACAAAGCCAAAAATATTTGCTATCTAGTACTTCATAGAAACAGTTTGCCAGCCCCTATGGTACACAATCCACACCCTCATGGCTCCTTTCCTAAAATGCAATTCTGTGAATCTCAGATTGTTTCTTTCTTAAAATGCTGTATGTTTAGACACAAAAATTATTTCATTTTATTAGCATTTGTTGAATTTATTGTAGACCGACTCAATCATGTTACCCCCATATCAGCTTCCATATTGCCTTAAAATAATGCTCTAGTTTTTCAGTGACAATGATGTAACCATGAGCCATGAGCATATTTTCAATGAGAAATCTAAACATATTTAATTTGAGTTTTAAGAAATCAGCAAATATGAGCACCTGATTCTACACACGTCTGTTTTATAAACCAGGGGATTCTGTAGTTCATTTTGGTAACTTTCTTCCTCCAGAGAATTGCTATTATAATTATAAACTGGAAAATTTTAGGGCAGGTAGAGCCCTAAATTTATTTTTCGAAATAGAAAATCCTCTGTGTATGATGCTGGATTAAGTGGGAACCACTTTTCCCTTTCCAGGTCAAGACATGACCATTGCCATCCTCTTGCTTTCTCTTATTATAACCTCCCGCAATAAGAGGTCAAAGACATTGTTCCATGAAAATCAAGTGAAGGTCTGATATTGCTTCTCTATTTCTCAGGAACATTTTCTCTTCTCAGAGTTGACTGGTCACAACTGGAATGAGATGCTTCCTGAGAAACTTCTGGATCTCCTTCCAAGAATGCTCCTGTGCAGCTGCATGCAGGGTCACCTCTCCTCCCCACTGCATGAACAGGTGGAGTTTGGAGAGCTTTGAGGCACAGCACAGTGGGGAATAGGGAGGCTCTAACATGTGGCCTGCCCCAGGGTATGATAGCAGGGTCCAATTGTCCTTCCCATTTCTCCTCAACTGTTCTGTGGCTTGCTCAGCATATGCTTTGCTGTTGATACTCTTATCATCTTCTCCCACAATGAAGAGGAAATGTCCCTGGGCCTTTTCAATGGGGAGAAAAAAGCTCTCACTGGCTTTACTTCTAGCTTCCTCAAAACAATACTGGAACTGTGCTAACCCTAAGGCATTGATAGATACTAACTCTGGAGAGAAGGACAAGGGCTGACTAATTTGACCGCGATATACCTGTGGAGTGCTAAATACAAAGTTGGGTCCATTAATAAGCACGGTGGCTATGACCTGTTTTAGGTGAATAGCCATGGAGAGTCCAATCTCTGCTCCTTTGCTTATGGAAACTATCCCAACGCCTGGGCCAAGGACCTAAAAATAATGAAAATGAGACATTGATTTTATCCACCATTTAGCAAAACCCTACCATCTCAAACAACCAAAGAACTTGAATGGCCAATCGGAATCAAGCAAGGATTAATCCCACCTACATGCCCAGTTCTAGAGTTCTGAAATATGTAATGTATGTTCAAAGGAAATACTCCTTCAAGAATATGTCAGGCTTTCCAAATTAAATACTATGAATTCAGCATGGTGTTAGGTGCTGAGTTTAAAATGCCCTAAAGAAATACCAATGTAGTAGGGAAAATAAGAAAAGGGCACATAACTATTGTGAATAGTATGAGTCAAGGTATAGCTGATTGGTAAACTTTGTTGTATCAATACTGGGGTCTCTAAAGGTCATAGGAAAGGCACTCTGTAGGAAAAGACTGAGGAAAAAAGGTAAAATTGGTAAAATAGAGCATTGAAACACGAACAGAGGATTCTACATCTGCTGTGGTTTCCAAAGAAGGTTTCTCCTTTGGAGAAAGGTTTCATGAAGGAGGCTTGGCTCAGCTTCCTCTTCCCTGGTCAGTCACCAAGCAGGCATTTTTAGATCGTCCACCCTGTACTAACCACTGGGGGACACTGAGGGGAAAAAGGCACAAATCATCTCTTACCATCAAGGAACTCACTATCAGGTGGAGAGACAGGAGGGCAAAAACAGACAATTAGAGTAACTTACAAATTCTGCAATATAAGAATGCATAAGCAAGGCTGCCAACCCGGATTATCAGGGAATAAAGGCAGGATCAGAGAAAGATTCTCAAAGGAAATAGGCTATGAATTGGGTTTTTATATTTAAAAAATTTGAGTTGGGGCACCCGAGTGGCTCAGTCAGTTAAGTGCCTGACTCTTGATTTCAGCTCAGGTCATGATCTCACGGTTCAAGGGATCAAGCCCCGCACTGAGCCACACATCAGGCTCCATGCTGACAGTGCAGAGCCTGCTTGGGATTCTCTCTCTTTCCCTCTCTCTCTGCCCCTACCCTGTTCTCTTTCTCTCAAGATAAATGAATTAATTTTAAAAAATGGGAACAAACAAGAAGGAATGGTATTCTATGCTGTGTATAGGCTCACTAACAGGAGCCATTCTCTTCTTATTTTGAGGGGCATGTATCCAGTCCCAAGGGATAAGTTCTGATGGATCTGAACCTAGTCCCCTTTTCTATGTATGTTTTCAGGCTCTCTTGTAAGGCCAGTACATTCTACCTAAGATCCTACCCTGCATATTAAGTGGGGTGACGTGAATCATCTCCTTTTGAATTGAAAAGAGCTCTCAAGCTCTGAAGTTCTAGGTCTTAATATAAAAGATATAGAGTCACATCACTGCAATGAGAGATGAGAACCCAGAAAAGATCTGGCCAGGGAAGACAAAGTAAAAGGAAGTATAACATGCATGAACAACATGGTATAACAAAATGACACAGCCATCTGCAGCCTTTTGGCAGAACACTAACTCTCGTTACAATTTCTGCCACCAAATTTGGGATCAGGGATTTTAGGATGCTTAAAATCAACAGATGGAGAAATAAGACCTACAAGGAATTGAAAGATCTGTGGTCTATCCTCCCACAGAAGAGAGCATGAAGCAGGTTTAGTGCAAGTACCAACAGCCTAGGAAAGAAATCTGGTTTCCAGGTCTCGTTTAGTCATTGACTATCTAAGTGACATTGGTAAGATTACTGATAAAGAAGTCATGCAGCAAGTATAAGAGGAATCAGGCTAAGAAAGTGAAAAACCGAATCACACAGCCTCTTCATCTCTCAACTAAGTTAAGCAGAAACTCAGCACAGTAACATTGCCTATTTGATAGCTCAAGGACAACTCCATTATATGCATCAAAAATAGCTTTTTAAAAATTCAATGCATTGGGGCACCTGGGTGGCTCAGTTGGTTAAGTATCCAACTTGAGCTCAGGTCATGATCTAACAGTTTGTGAGTTCAAGCCCCACGTCGGGCTCTGTGCTGACAGCTCGGAGCCTGGAGCCTGCTTCAGGCTCTGTGTCTCCTCCTCTCTCTGCCCTTCCCCTGCTCATGCTCATGCTCATGCTCATGCTCATGTTCTGTCTCTCTCTCTCTCAAAAATAAATAAACATTAAAAATAATTAAAGATAAAATAAAAAGTAAAAATTCAAAGCATCAATAGATCGTCAGTGATCATAGCCCATCTAATTACTACAATTCTAATCATATTTTGGTGATCCTGATATGAAATAGGATGTGGTACAGAGACTTAATTTTACTTAGATCAATTCTTTTTAAGAAAAAAATATTAGCTGGGGCACCTGGGTGGCTCAGTCAGTTAAGCAGCTGACTTCGGCTCAGGTCATGATCTCACGATCTGAGTTTGAGCCCCACGTTGGGCTCTTGTGCTGGCAGCTTGGAGCCTAGAGCCTGCTTTGAATTTTGTGTCTCCCTCTCTCTCTTCCCCTCCCCCTCATACTCTGTCTCTCTCTCAAAAATAAATAAACATTAAAAAAAAGATAAAAACATTAGCAATTAGCAAGGGCTAACATGCAGCAACCCTACAGTAGCAGCAAATCACATTTTAAAATTTAAAGAAGGTATAGACTAGAAAGAACTATAGTATTATTTTTAAGGCCTCTCAAATAGCTAAAAGTGCAGACTCACTCCTCAAGAAAGACAGACTATCTTTCTGGTGAAGTCTGGTGATTAAATAATTATCAGAGAGGTGATGATAATAATAATTACATTTATTGAGGGTGTAGTATTGCCAGTGACTATAGTGAGTACTTTGCTTGTATTATCCCCTTAGATAATTCTCACAAGAGCCTTACAAAATAGCACCCCTGCCATAGTATTTAATAGATGAAGAAACTGAGAATTAGAGCATGTTAGTAGCTCGCCCAGATTCCCACAACCAGACGGGACGGAGCCAGAAAGGCAACCCATTTCTGTCTGAATCTAAAGCCATTGCATTTTGATGCCATCATGGACACAGGCTAACTTCCCATTTTGTCTTTCTGAGCAGAAGACATTGGGTGTGAAAGAAATCATGTGAATAATATGGGTATGTATATAGAATCATACTTGGAAGTTAAAGGGTCACAGAATGTTATAGTTATTTAAAAACAGGAACTGAAAGAAAAGGCAAAAATTACCTTCGGATGTCTCAGGAGAAAGTTGACAGCTTCTTCAAAATATTCTAACTCTATTTTTTCTGGGTGTAAAGGCAGATCTTCATAGTCACAGTAGGCTAAGGCCAACGCAGCAAAGCCATGACTGGCCAGGAGACTGGCTCGGTATTCAATCAGCCCACCAATACCAGCAAACAAGTCAATTACCCCTGGGAAACGGCCCTCTCCTGAAAAAGAACAAAACAAAACAGAACTGGATATGAAGGGAAGGGAAGGAAAAAGGAAGAAAAATATGACAACACAAAGAAATGCATCACAAATCGTGGAAATGACATATAAATTTTCAGTGGAATCCCTAAATTTTCAGGCTCCTATCTGGGACAGAATTAAAGCTGATTGAATACACTAATGGAACACAATATCAGGAAGCTTGATTGGGAAACCTGTTCACTGACATGCTTCATCTCTGTAGCCAAGGACTACTGGGGACTCATAGTGGCTCATTTCTATAGTACTGAGTAAAGAAAGCCATTGAAATTAGGCAAGGGCTTTTTAATCTATGAAGAGGTACACAATTAGGCTTTAGGACACCAGTGAAGGTCCTGAGATTACACGCAAAATATATGTTTATATGTGCATGTTACTAATGAAAGCCTTTATGGATTTAATTGGGTTCTCAAAATATATATGACTCAAAAAAAAAAAAAAAAAAAAAAAAAAAAAAAAAAAAAAGGCTTCAAAAGTATATGACTCCAAAAAGTGAATTGAAATGATTATTAGCTATAATCCTGACTTAACACTGTTCTGTTACATTAGTCTGACTACACCCAAGCAGATGTAAATGATGAGGGCTTTCATGCAGTAACACTGTTTATTCACTGCAGCTTAACACATGGCAAAAAGTAGAGGTGCTCAGAGTATCATTCTATACTCACTCTCTGTGTAGGCAACTTGTTTCCTAAATAAAGCAAGGTTCACACACTGAAAAAAAATTTATGATGCACTACTAGGGGCATTCTATTCTTGTGTAAGTGATTTTAGCTACGGAAGACTGGTACCATCTACCTTTGAAAAGAGTGACTTGGGGATGCCTGGCTGGCTCAGTTGATAGAGTGTGCGACTCTTGATCTTGGGGTTGTGAGTTCAAACCCCATGGTGGGTGTAGAGACTACTTAAAAATAAAAAATATTTTAAAAAAAGAAACAAGTGACTTGATTTAAAGGAATATTGGGAATTTTCAAAAGAAAACATTGCTGTGTTTCCTTATGTTGAGAGAAGAAATAAAATGATACTAAATCTATCTTGGCTTTAAAATATACCACTTGTTAGCGCGCCTGGGTGGCTCAAGTTGGTTAAGCGTCCGACTTCGGCTCAGGTCATGATCTCACAGTCCGTGACTTTGAGCCCCGCGTCGGGCTCTGTGCTGACAGCTCAGAGCCTGGAGCCTGCTTTGGATTCTGTGTCTCCCTTTCTCTCTCTGCCCTTCCCCCCACCCCTCAAAAATAAATAACCATTAAAAAATTTTTTTTGTTAATTAAAAATAGAACTACCTTCAACCCAGCAACTGCACTATTAGGTATTTATCCAAAGGATACAAAAATGTTGATTCGAAGGGGCACATGCACCCAATGTTTATAGCAGCACTATTGACAATAGCCAAAGTATGGAAAAAGCCCAAACGTTCCTCGAATGATGAATGGATAAAGAAGATGTGATATACATATACAATGGAATATTACTTGGCGATAAAAAAGAATGAAATCTTGCCATTTGCAACAATGTGGATGGAACTAGAGTGTATTATGCTACGTGAAATAAATCAGTCAGAAAAAGACATATGATTTCACTCAAATGCGGAATTTAAGAAATAAAACACACAAACATAGGGGAAGGGAAGGAAAGACAAAATAAAAACAGAGGGAGACAAACCATAAGAGACTCTTAAATACAGAGAACAAACTGAGGGTCGCTGGAGGGGTGTTGGGTGGGGGCATGGACTAAATGGGTAAGGGGCACTAAGGAAGACACTTGTTGGGATGAGTACTGGGTATTATATGCAAGTGATGAATCACTAAATTCTACTCCTAAAATCATTATAAAAAAAGAGTACTGAGCCTCTTATCCTGGAAGAATGTCATAGTTGAGAACCACTTTGAGACCTGACTCATTCTCTTTTGGCCCCCACAGAACAAGGAGTACACGAGCACGTGCGGTGTCCAAGAGGATTCACAAAAGCACCCTCTAAACCAACACATCATCCCAACGTGGGAGGCCTGCACCAATATTAAATTTTTCATTGAAGTGGAATAATAGAGGCACAGACGTTTGTGTCACTCACTGATCCCCACACACAATAATCTTGCCTATATGCTAATTACTGGGTGTAAACATATTGAAATTTGTCCAAACAACTAAATGGGTCATGATGACTTTGGAAAGGGAAGTTTTTATTCCTTCTACGTCGTCTATAACTCTATGCTGTTGGAAACCACTTCTACCACTTCAAGCTTCCTCAATCCATCTCAGTTCTACTAAGTGATTATGCTTTTATTTTTTTAATGTTTATTTTTGAGAGAAAGAGAGAGAGAGAGAGAGCAGGGGAGGGGCAAAGAGAGAGGGAGACAGAGGATCTGAAGGGGGTTCCACACTGCTCAATGGGGACTCAAATTCATGAACTGTGAGATCACTGAGCCGAAGTGGGATGCTTGACTGACTGGGGCACCCAGGCACTCTGTGATTATGTTTTTAAAAGCAGAGAGAGAGGCATACATCCTGGCAATACAATGGCTATGTCCCAGATCAAATCATGTGTCTGCAGAAGGGGGCCTCAGACACTCCTGAAACCTGGACCTGCCATGAGCAACTTCTGGAAAACTAACTTTGCTTCATTCAGTCCCACAATAAACCCTGATAAATGTACCAGTAGATGTTTTGAACCACTTACTGATATGTGGAGATCACTGTGAGAAACTATGTGTATTCTGGTAAGTTGTATGCCACTAAAAAGCATGTTGTATTTTCTGCAGATTTGTGGAATACTGTATAAATATGAAATATTTATGGAACTAGAGAATATAAAGTCTCTTTGCATCCTCTATATTTGTTGCAGTATTTCACTCCATAATATCATCAGCTTATCGCATGCGATGACCTATGCCTAAACTGAAACTCAGACAGGACAAAACCCCCAAGAGAAGCTGGGATACAGTTCCATGATATCAGGATAGGGGTCTTCAGATAGTCAGGCTTCAATATAGAAGGATTTCACATAAATCCAAAGCTATGGGAAACCCATAATGCAGGGACTTCATAAACTACATGTAGTCATATCCTTAGAAAAGCTCCTGAATTGTTGAGATCAAACTTGAGTCGGAATGGGGCATCACCATATTCTTGTTCTGACCCAGAATTAACCCTGATTCTACGGCTGGCAAGGATTACACTATGTACTATCCTTATCCAAGTTAAACCTCTAGAAGGACGAGGCATTCAAAAGAGGAAACACGAGGATGACAGTACCAGGTTAATTCTACTCACCAGGAGGGAGAAAGAGGGCTCCCCGAAGGTGGCCTTCTTGAACTTGGATCCGTGTGACACCAGGTGCTCTGTACCACCTCTCCAAAGTCACGCTGACTTTTGGATCAGTGGCAGCAATCTGGGCTAATGGTAAATTTGAATCATAAAGTTTTATCTGGACCAGGAAGGGGCTAGTCATCACATCTCTTTTCATCAATTTAGTTAAAAAATTTTCAGGTTTCAGGGACCAGAAGAGACCCATGGGGTGGACTCCTATATAGTCACCTCCAAGTGAAGGAGCATGATCCAGGTCTACCTCACCAACCTCACTGGCCTTATAGTAGGCTTGAGAATTAAACAGGTTCCCCTTTTCATCTTCCAGTGTTGCCTGAAAAATCACTATCTGAGAGGAATGCAGGCCTGTAGCTCGGATGTGCACTGGCTCATCAGTCAGCGTGCTTGCAGGGGTAGCTGTCAGCTGAATCATTGTTACAATGTGGCACCTTGAAGATTCTTCAAGTAATGCTTTGAGTAAACCCTGGATATAAAAAAAAAAAAAAAAAAATGGGATAATGAAATAAGACAGTGATAAGGTTAATGAGAGGTGAACTGGAACAGAAATCAGGCTGCTTGGGATTCAGCTCTAACCCTCCAGTTGTTTAGCAAATATACTGATATAATCTTCAAGTATTAGATACCTGACAGCTTTCAACGAATTTATAGAATACATAAAACAAGTAGATAAGTTTTATAATCATTATGAACCAGGGTGGAGGAAGCAGCAGCCAAAATATGCATGAATGGTATCAACATATCCAAGGAAGATATCACAATCGGCCACCAGAACCCTTGGAAAATTAGATGCAGTGGAGGATAAGAGTGAGATGTGCAGTTGAAAAGGGGGGTTTGTTAAATATCTATATATATATATGGAACTGGTGACTTCACTACTAATCCCCTTCCCAAATCCTTCAGACAGAATGCCTGGCATCTAAGAATTCATGTCTAATAGAGTATTAAAAAAACAGACAAATCTTCTCAAAAGTATGAAAATAAAATCTTTGGGAAGAGCAAGGAGGCTGACCTATGTATTATTCCCTAAAGAAAAAATATTCCTGGCTTCAGAGTTAGGATTTACCCAGTCCTAAGCAAAACCAGGCACTGACCAGCCCTTCAGACACCCAAAAATTTGCTGGGCTTTTTATAACTTCCATCTTAAAAATTAGGGAATGCCTCTCTCCTTCGGTTAGTGTGAAGAAAGCCACAAAAATGACCATAATTCCCATTCTAATAACCTAAAATTATCTGTATAAAAACAAAATCAATTAAAAAAAATTTTTTAAAGCTCATTAGATTGTCAGGAATCTAAACAAATTAAACTCTAGTGAGTAACAAACTCATCATAGGAGAGAGAAAACTTTCTCTTCTACAGAGTGACTTTTATATATGACAAAGCAGCAAAAAAGAAATGCCCATCAAAAAAATAAGGAGAAATCAAAAATAAGGAGAAAGTATAATGGATGTGTGTGGGCTGGTTTGATAGATTCGAATCCTGAGAAACTCCAGCCAGAGTCTTTCTCCAAGTGCCAACTCTTTAGGACCTGGCCATGTGCTCTAGGACAATACATCAAAGAATGGGAGCAGAGACATGAGCCAAGAGAAATCTGTCTGCAGGTCTTCGGAAGAAGCAAGGCAGCTAACTTCCAAAAGATAGGGAAGAATAGCAAAATAGAGAGATTTCCCCAGGCTCAGAAAGCCAGGACTGGGACTGCAGAGCAAAGAAATGTCCTTGGTGACCCTCCTTCCAGAAGAATTATAAATCAGAGGGAAATATCCTACAGTTAGAAAAGCTAGCAACCTGGCCACAAAAACCAAAGATATCTCCAGAAGTTCAGCAATGGTTAGGCACCAGTTTCTTCTGATGAGAAGAGCCTAATTTCATATCCCAAACTATGTGAAGCCAGGGGTACGCTGAATCAGATAAAGCTGAGACAAAGCCCAGATCCAGCTGGACTACAGGTCAGCCCCTAATTCTACCATTCTGACAGAACAGGGCTTTGCTCTTTTCTTGAGGTAAATATGACTTAGTCTACTCTTTTTTCTTTTTTTTAATGTTTATTTATTTTTGAGAGAAAGACAGAGCGTGAGTGGGGAGGGGCAGAGAGAAAAGGAGACACAGAATCCGAAGCAGGCTCCAGGCTCTGAGCTGTCAGCACACAGCCTAATGCGGGGCTCAAACCCACAAACCGTGAGGTCATGACCTGAGCCAAAGTTGGTCGCTCAACCGACTGAGTCACCCAGGTGCCCCTAGTCTTTTCTTTTATATGAAATATCTGGGGTATAATAAAAAAAAAAATTACAAGGTGCAACAGAAGCAACAAAATCAACCCATATTCATGATGAGAGCAAACAATCAGTAGGAAAGGGCACAGAAATAGATGAGAGTGGATTTATCACGCAGGAACTTTGAACCGACTACAATAGAATGCTATTCAGGAAAAGAAAACAATCGAATTACTGATAAATACAATAACTGGGAGGAATCACAAGAGAATTATGCCACTCCCAAATGATTACATATTGTATGATTCCATTTATATAACATTCTTGAAATGACAAAGTTATTTATTTGTTTGCTTATTTGTTTGTTTTTAGAGAGAGAGCAAGTGGAGGAGAGGGGCAGAGGGAGAGAGAGAAAGAATCATAAGCAGACTCCACACTCAGCATGGAGCCTGGTGCAGGGCTCGATCCCACAACCCTGCGATCATGGCCTGAGCCAAAATCAAGAGTCAGACACTCAACCGACTGAGCCACCCAGGTGCCCTTTGAAACAACAAAGTTAGAGAAATGGAGAACAGATTAGTGGTAGTGGTTGCTAAGGTTCAAGGATTGGGTTGGGAGGAGATGTCTATAAAAGGACACCATGAAGGATCCTTGTGTTCATAAGAATATTCTGTATCCTGATTGTATCAAGGTCAATATCCTTGTGACACTGTACTACATTTTGCAAGATTTTACCATTAGGGGAAGCTGGGTAAAGGGTACATGTGTTCTCTCTGTATTATTTCTTACATATGTGGTAAATCTACCATTACCCCAAAATAAAAGCTTAGTTAAAAAAAATAACTGTGATAAAAATGCTAAAGGATCAAGTAGAAAAGGCAGACAAAATATTTGAGAATTTCATCTGGGCATGAAAGTTGTAGAGAAGAACCAAATGGAAAAGCTAGAAATAAAAAATACAAGAATAAAAATGAAGAATTACTAGATAGACTTCATAGAAGACTAGAAAACAACAGCAGAGTAAAGAACCAGACTAAATTGCAACAAAGAAAAAAGGGTATAAAAGAAAAACAGAGCACTTGAGACGTGTGGAACAATATCAGATTCTAATATGTGTGTAATTGGTGCCTCAGAAAGACAGGGGAGAGAAAGGCACAGAAAAAATGTTTTAAAAAATAGTAATGGAGAGGCACCTATGTGGCTAAGTTGGTTGAGCATCCGACTCTTTTTTTTTTTTGGTGCAAAAAGATGATTTTTTTTAAAGCACATGGACAGGACCCATGGGCAGAAAGAGCTGCCCCAGGACCATGAGAAGAGACTGGTTCGAGCAACCGACTCTTGATTTTGGCTCAGACCATGATCTCATGGTTACTGTGTGGGCAAGAGCCCCGCGGTCGGGCTCTGCTCTGACCATGCAGAGCCTGCTTGGGATTCTCACTCTCCCTCTCTCTCTGCCCCTCCTGCCTCCCTCCCTGACCCCTGCACTCTCAAATGAATAAACTTTAAGAAAATAAATATTGACTGAAATTTTCCCAAAATTGTTGAAAAATATCTTGCCACAAATACAAGAAACTCAGCAAACCAGAAGGAGGACAAACACTAAGAACACCACAACTGCAGCATTGCCTATTATCATTAGTTAAACTAATGATAATAAAATATAAAAAGCAAATATTAAAAGCAGCCAGAGAGGGGCGCCTGGGTGGCTCAGTCAGTTAAGCGGCCGACTTCGGCTCAGGTCATGATCTCACGGTCCGTGGGTTCGAGCCCCGCGTCGGGCGCTGTGCTGACAGCTCAGAGCCTGGAGCCTGTTTCAGATTCTGTGTCTCCCTCTCTCTGACCCTCCCCTGTTCATGCTCTGTCTCTCCCTGTCTCAAAAATAAATAAAACATTAAAAAAATAAATAAATAATAAAATAAAAGCAGCCAGAGAAAAATGGAAACCTTACATATAGGAGAATTAACAACATAAATAATGTTTGACTTCCCATCACAAGCAATGGAAGCCAGAAGACAATAAATTTTTTAAATGCTTAAAAGAAAACATAAAAACTCCAAAATTCTCTATCTAGCAAAAATACACTTCAAAAATGAAGGCAAAATAAAGACATTTCCAGGAGGTGGGGAAATGGGAGACATTATGTCTGTGGTAGACCGACATTATAAGAAATGCTGAGTTGTTGGAGGGATATTGGACCAGATGGACAACCAGATCTGTGGGAAAGGATGAAGACCACAAAAATGGTAATTATAGAAGCCCATTTAAAAATATCTTTAATATGTATACACACATATATGTGTGTGTGTATTTAAATGCAAGTAAGAGACTATATAAAATAAAAATAATAACAATGTCTTGTGGGGTTTACAGAATACACTGAAATAAAATATAATGACACAAAGGTGGGAATGGGGTAAATAGAATTAAACTGTTGTAAGATTATTATATATTACCTGCTATTTCTCGAGCAATACAAGATTATTTGCAGGCTGACTGTAATTACTTAAAGGTACTGTTAGGAGCTCAGCTGAGCTCAGGGAGATAGAGAAAGCTGAGTGGCTATGTGTCAGAGTAGCTGATTAAACCAACAAGCCAAAAACAAGAGTGAAGCCTTTAATCACTTACTGTGATGGGAGAAAATGCCTGGGCAAGACGAGGCTCGATGGTCTGAAGTTGGTGGCTCAGCCAGAAGTGGGGGTGGGTTGTTGAGGGAGCTCCAAAGGATCCAGCAGTTCTGAGGTCAGGAGAGAGTGAGGGGAAGGGCTAGAAGTAGAAAAGAGCTAGGCGCTGAATCACAGTGAAAAGAAATGTCTTCAAGTATCCCTCCTCCTTGCATATAGAGACCTCAGCAGACACACCTTGACAAGAATTTGGACTCTGAACAGGCCTGATATAAAGAGATCTACAATGGGCAGGGAAGGCAAATACGAGAAGAACATGATGGGCCTGAGTGACTAATGACTATGGAGACCAGTAACTGCTGAGTGGCTTAAGTCCTTGACTCCAACTTTTTCAAGAGGCTGCCATGCACTGACTGTACCCCAAAACTGGTTCTGGAAGGGGAGCTTTCTCCCATGATGCCTGCCAGCTAAAGCCTTTGTAATTGCCTATGGTCAGTTCTGGAAAATCATACATAGGTTTTTAACTAGGAGCTAGACTCCTCAGGTACATATTGTATTCTATAGAGTCTCTCTCTCTCTCTCTCTCTCTCTCTCTCTCACACACACACACACACACACACACACACACACACAC